ACGCTGCGGCTGCGGTCACGTTGGTTTGTGAGGCCGTCGTATCAGTCGAGTCTGTTGAGTCCGACCCGTTCGTACCGAACCATGGCTCTCCTATACTTATTATAAAAAAAAATATCATACAGGTAAAATAAGAACTTTCCCCTATTTTTAAAGTTCGGTTAAAAACATAATAAAGACCATAGAATTAGAATTATTTTAAACAAATAACAAAATCCTTTCTCTTATTTCATCGCTGTCACTCTCATCAATGGGGTGTAGTGTTTCACTAGGTTTAGTGAAACACTGTTAGTCGAGTCTACAGAAAATGTATTAGGACAGCAACCGTGAAGTTTCCATCGCCTTCAGCGACCAACACCTTTCTTTTACAAAAACAATGTGATGTTGCATTATTTATTTAAAGATAATGCTACCCAAATACTATATATATACGGTCGTGAATCGTAAATACATTATGTATGACTAAAGGAGCGACTCGTAACGCATTGCGTTAAGGAAAACTATCCCAAATATTTGCATTGTCTCAAGCCGCATGAAGCACATCACTATTCATGGTACGGGTTATGTAGTGATCAAGCTAAATTCGATCTTTTGTCTCGGTTAATTAATGCGATTTTGGAGAGCACGCTTTGTCTTAGGATATTAGGTGCGTCTTTACTGTTTTAGATGAATACAGAATTATGGAAAAGAAAATATTTCTGTATATTTTATAAGTATATAGTTGGTCACTTTACCATTTAAGCGCTTGGTCGAAAGTCCTTGAAAGGAATTAAGGTTTTTTTGTGAGAGGAAAATCATAAAATGACTTCTCCAGGGAGGGAGTGTTAGACTCTTCATCATCATCATCATCATCAGCCTGTTGTCGTCCACTGCTGGACATAGGCCTCTCCAATTGCACGCCACTGAGCTCGATGTTCAGCTCTTCTCATCCAACCACTGCCAGCCACCCTGCGGATGTCGTCAGTCCACCTAGCTGGAGGGCACCCTACACTACGTTAGACTCTTACTGACTAAAAACCCCCTGTACCTTCTCCTGCTCTGGGCCGAAGTCGCGGTGCCTCATTGCGCTTACCCCGCAACCCCGGCTGAACATCAGCTCTATAGGGCCCCATCTGTGGTGGTTTACTGGCTCTTTGAGGCAAAGAAATTCTATAATAAATTTTACTATTCATCAAATTTTAAACCTACAAAGAATTCAAATGCAAACACGTATCGCAATTGTTGTGGTCACGGTAATATATTGAAACAATAACAGTTGTTCGTTTGTATTTCAAATGTATTTTCATAATAATTAACGGAGTGCTAAATGAAAATATTTAGCAACTTCACAGGCTTATGTAACAATGGAGAACAATGATTTATTAATGACTCATTTAAATAACATTGGACTTATATGCAATGCCAGAAAGAACAATTGTTGCACCTTTAAAAAACTTACTTACTTTACTAGATTTTGCCCGCGACTCCGTTCGCGTGGAATAGTGAGTTCCTGCAGATTTTTTGTTTAAAAACTATCCTATGTCCTTTCTCGAGTTTCAAAGTATCTCTGTATCAAATTTCACTGAAATCGGTTCAGTGGTTTAGGCGTAAAGAAAAGACAGTCAGAGTTACTTTCGCTTTTATATATTAGTTTGGATTGAAAATTCTTATTTAAAAAATCACAGTGGCAGCCCCCAGTGTACAGCAAAACGCTGTGACCCACCCCTAATTTCTTGAGTTTACCTATTGTGCTACATCGCTGCAAGTTTTGTTCTAGACTGTTAAATAAATCTGCCTCATAAGTTTCAGTGTTTTTTCAGAAGAACACGTTTGCAGACTGCAGTGCTCAGTTCATATGGCCTAACGCAGGAGAAGGAACGGTGTTTTTAGTCAGTAAGAGTCTGACAGTCACTTGGTGATTTTCGCCTCACAAAAACAGTGCTCTATTCATATACTGGTATGTACTCTGACTTTTGAACGAGCTCCTCGTTTTATTCCTTTGTCGTGAGTGCGTTTACAAAATAAAAGTTCATATACATGAAGGCACCGGGGGGTTGGTACAAACATCAACATCCCGATCATCGTCTTTATAGGGCGTAGGATTTTATAATCAGACCGAATAAATTACAAAAATGACGGACGTCGGCGATCCGTTTCAGATGACAGTCACAACGCTCGCTCTCCACCATAATGCGCACGCAGAACTGTCTGTTTGACGTTTCGCCAGAGTACGATTCATTGTACCCTCGTTCGATGAACTGTGATAAAACTTCCATCAAAATTCAATTTAAATAATCGACGCGCCGTCATACACATCACACTCAGCCTCGAAATAAAAATCTGTTGATACCACAAAGGTTGTTCAGTGCGAGAATCGAACGTACCAACCCCTACCGTACCAACCCAGCAGAGCAGGCAGTCAAATGGCACACAACAAAGTTACAAATTAATTTCTTTATTTAATTAATACATAGCACTGACACAAACAAATGCATATTAAATTTTAGATAATAGAGAGTCAGTTAATTTACCGAAAATCTCTTTCACCAAAATTATAATAATTACTATGTTTATGAAATGAAAACGCTAATAATGAATTGCTGGAAACTGAACATTTACGATTGGGAATTTATTTACATATAGGATTTGTCAATGCAAATATGTTGCATACTGATTAACCTTTTAAATTAAATTAAATTAAAAATAAAATTTCTTTATTTCAGACCCATTAAAGTCCATAGATTGTTAGTGTATTAGCAACAAAAAGTTCTTATGTACTATGTTAGTATAGTTAGTAACCTATAGCTAATTTCACCCAGTGTCTCTGTATCGGACAATCCGGCCTATCAGCAATAATTTTTCTTTATTCGAAACAGTAACTCCAATTAAATTTAGTATACATATTAACAATTACTCTTTGAACTGTGTGTAATAAATTAGAACCGGTTTTGTCAGTTATAAAACATTTTTATTCTTAAAACGCAACTTGGTAATCCAGTCGCGTATCGACTGGACAGCAACGGATCTTGCTCGCAGAAGTTGTCGAGGACGCACCTAATACGCGATTTTCCTACTTTAAATTATGACAGGCAAAACTTTGTCACGGGCACATAGTGGCAAGTGACTTCTGAAGGTGGCCTAGTGGTCACGGATTGTCATGCACATGCCCCGATAGGGATGTCCCATAACAGGCGTTGTACTATAGGGACTCTGGAGTCGGTCTACTGAGAAGACCCGGTGTGCCTCAGGTGGCTCGATAATGGTCACCGGGAAGATTTTAATGAGGTAAAAATCTCACACTTTATTCTCTTTCCCTAACATGATAGCTTATAAAGGTATAGAGCATGAACAAAAAAAAAACAAAACTGTACATAAGTTTTCAAGAAGGCGATTAAAGCGTTATTGGTCGCACCCTTAAGTCGTACAGTGGACTGTGACGGTCTGTTAATATAGACTATAACTAAAGCCTCTTATAATGTAACAATGTCAATACTTACCAAGGACAAACTCGTAAATTATTTACAGCTAATATTAAACTAAAGTACGAAAACATTAATAAGCAGTAGAGAGTCTAATTAGTTACAAGCACAAAATGTACTCACATACGCAAAAAGAACATTTATTATACCTAATTCTAGCAAATGTAACCACTATTGTCGAGGTAAGCACTCTAAGATAAACGCTAAGACCCGTCCATTTAGCAAATGTTCTACAAGACGGTACTAATCTTTCTTATCATTTAATATCTTCAGGATGACAATTAGGGATGTTAGCTGTCAACGCGAGCTCCCTGCGGGACCTCTGAGCAAGGCACAGGGGTGATACCATCTAATCTATACCTCGACCCATCATTTTACGCAATTGCTTAATCTTTCAGACATGACTGATTTGGTTATCGTGGTCAGTAGCGTGACTCCTAATTTGGAGATTTAAGTTTGTTAAAAAGATACCTAGTTTTGAAGCCTTGTGGAAGGATTTTTTAAGGGAGGACAATTTTCTAATGAAATTTACCCGTCATGATGGAGTGGCACTCCACTCACTGACACAGGGACCCCGTTACTTTTCCTGCATTATTGCGCTTACAACCGAATAGTAAGAAGGCTAACTTAATAATAATTAGTTTATTGTGCCAAATAGATTGTATAAAATATATTATGTATTATGAAGTGAATATCACATGACTTTTCAGTTGGCGCGATGACTAAACAACCGGCTGCCGCGTAAAGTATAGCAGATTCGATTCCCACAAATTCTTATTCGGTTCTTTGTGTGATTTTTAAATAAAATTGGACGTATTTATGCAAACAGGAACCAATCCACACCTATACCAAAATCGAGATAAGGACATAGAACGTTTCAAAAATAAGTCTTCTATCGACCCTGTAAAGATCAAAATGATGTGACAACTTTGACAGATCAAAACAATTCTATGACAAAGTTATCAACCAACATAACCGCAGTTATTCAATAAACTAACAAGAACCATACCCCATGGTTACCCAATGATTTTAAAAAATAGTTAAAATTGTTTTTTTCAATAAGACTCATACCACATGATTCCTTTCATTTCTAATTTTTTAGTCAAATTAGTAGAACCATGCGGATTGGTTCTTGTTTGCGTATTAAAATAGGCGTATTTCTGCACGTTTACAAAGACTCAGATTATTTGGTTCCTTGTTGATATAAGTTTATTTACAACATCTGAAAAATCATGTTGTTTTAAACTTCTTGTAAAATAAATTTTAAAGTTACTCATAACGATTGTAAGCCGATCGTAGGTATACATTATTGTAATTCACTTAGTTTTCTAAATATAATAATACTTATATTAATGTTTATTCTGGTAAATTTTCAAGTGAATATAGCAACTATTTTTAAACTGAATAGTAGGTCAGTATATTGATTGACAGTGGCAACACTGTACCAAAAAACAGGAGATCTCGGTACGTCTACGTCTCACGTCGTGTAATGCATAAATAATCAATTTCATTATCTATTAGTAAATTGATTTACTGTTTCCAACAATGAAGAGAGTAAACACCAGGATTCAAAATATGATTTCTAGCTGCCTCAACTATTCAGATGACAAAGAGAATGATAATCAAGGTACGTAAATAATAAATAATTTTGAGGTTGTAAAAGTTTTGGTTTGGTTGTTTCTTAAAACTTTTTTATTAGTAATGTTTGTAATATATTGTACCGTTGTAACTAAATAATAATGTTTTAACCAAATTGATTTTTTAAAAGTTCAGCTCCTTGCACAGATATGTCAAACGGGTTTCTTGATACATAATAATAGTAAATTATAATAATGGTAGTTATGTTAGTAGTCCCTTACTCAGTTTAATATATATTATTCCTTTTTCAGATTTTTATGATAACTCCAGACCAAGCAGCCCAATCCAGGTTCCTTCAGGTAGGTACTGTTTATGTTACATATCATAATTTTAAACGCCTTTTTTGCTAATTGTTGTTTCATAGGCATGTTCAAATGAGCAATTTGTGATTAAACGCGGGCTATTATTCTAGGTTTGCTGCAAAAACGAGGAAAATTGAGTACGCATGGTGAATTTAACAGTTTGCATGAAAAAACGGCTTGCGGTGATGGAGCTATATCCAATCCTAATTTGCCTGCTAAATTACTTACAGTCTCTGCTGATGTTTCCCAGAGTCCTCTGTCTCCTGTTCCGACTTCAGCTACAAATTTTGTGAAGGAAAATAAAACATCACATAGCCCTGTTGACACTTATGAAATCGAGACTGCTGAAAAAAGCATAGAACCACCTCCATACTCACCGCTGACCCCACGCCCAGTCATCGCTAAAAATAACGCAACTTATGAAATAGAAACTGCTGAAAAAAGCATAGAACCACCTCCGTACTCACCGCTGACCCCATGCCCAGTCACCGCTAGAAATAATGCAACTTCTGCAGAAACATTTACTTCGGAAAAACTTATTGGAACTCTTGCTGATAAAACTGTATCACCGCTTCCTTCTATGTCTCCAGAAACGGCGTCTTTGTTTAATATTTTAGCTGATTCAAGAGAAATTAATAGTTATTATCTGAATATTGAAGGCGTATCTGACACCTCATCGATAACAAGCTTGAAAAGTGGCGATGCTCCATTATTTATTGATAGCGATGATTCGGTTAAAGATCCCGATTATTGTGCTTTTGAGAATTATGGCTCGAGTGGTGATAGTTCTAATAATTCAATTTCATTGATAACTGGTACTGCACATGCAGAAATCAACCAAACAGATCACAGGATTAACGAGATCGCTAATTGTCAAATAGAATTAATTAATTTAGGTCCTCTAAATGCTCAACAGGAAAATATGCATGACGATAGTGAGATGGCATTTGTTTTAGAGTCTGACAATGGTAATGGTAATAATGATAGTTTACGCGTAATACAGCCTACGGGACGGCCAAAAAGAGGTAGAAAGCCAAAATATGGTGGTATATCGCGGGAAGAAAGGAAGAAACGTAAGTATACAAATTTGTCCTATGTCAACTCTAAGAAAAAGATTGTCAGTCCTAAAGAATTTATAGATTATGAATGCAATTGCCTAAAAAAGTGCCATGAAAATATTTCAGTAGAAAAGAGATTGGCTCAATTTAAAAAGTTTTATTCCCTAGGATCTTATAATGCTCAAAATATGTTTTTAACTGCTTTAATAAACGAACAGCCTGTGAAGCGGCATTACGTTGCAACTGACAATAAAACCCAAGTTTCGAAGAAAAAGTCTTATTCACGCCAATATTTTCTAGATGGCGTATCAGTTTGTAGAGATATGTTTGTCAAAACATTGCAGACATCGGCAAAGCGAATTAATACGTCGCTTTGTAAGATGCGATCAGACAGTTGCATTACTGATAATCGTGGTTTACATGGGGGTTTCAATAGAACGCCTCCTGAAAGCGAGGAGTTCGTGATTAACCTGATAAAAAAGTTGCCGACATATATATCTCACTATCGTCGACAAGAAACAGAAGGGGCTAAGTTTCTGAGACCTGACATGACTTTATCAAAAATATACGAGTTGTACAGCAATGAAGCGAAATCCACCGACATTAAATTATTGTCTGCTGCAAAAGTCAATAAATTATTTTATACAAAATTTAACCTGCGCACCAAGCCTCTCAAGAAAGATACGTGCAATAAGTGTGACTTTTTTGAAAGTCAAATTCTTGTGTTGTCGGAAGAAAATAGAGGTGACATTATACTAAAACGAGCAGCGCATCAGGAAATGGCAAAAACCTTACAAAATCAGTTGAGAACTGACATGGAACTAGCTAAAAATAATCCCACCGTCGAAACTCTTACCTTCGATCTTCAAAAAACTTTACCGTTACCGCGCATACCCACTAATATCGTATTTTACAAAAGACAACTGTGGGTATACAATTTAGGTATACATACAGGAAGCAAAGACGAAGCTCACTGTAATGTATGGGTAGAAGGAGAAGCTGGAAGAGGTGCTCAAGAGGTGGGGTCTTGTCTAATCAAACACATTACCGAAAGGCTTGATGACAATGTGAAATTTTTGATTTTATGGAGTGATTCGTGTGGAGGTCAGAATCGCAATATAAAATTGATATTAATGCTGAAAGCTATGTTGAATGAACACCCATCTTTAGACCAAATAAATATAAAATTCTTAGAATCAGGACATAGCTTCCTCCCAAATGATACAGATTTTGGAAAAATAGAATGTGCCTTAAAACGTCAACAGAGGCTCTATACACCGGATGATTATATTCATGTTATGAAAACTTGTAAAAAAACCAATCCAATGCATGTGCACAGGATGAAAAATGAAGACTTCTTGTCCTCATTAAAATTAGAAAAGAATATAATCAACAGAAAGAAAACGGTAGATGGAGAGAAAGTTTCATGGCTTCATACGAAAGAGATAATGATTAAAAAGGATGAAATGTTCAAAATTTACATGAAAACTGATTTGAATGAAGAATTTAAGGTAGTGGACATAAAAAAAAATGTTCGCGGAAGACAATATTTTATAACAAAAGCGTTGATGGCGCCACTTTGGCCAACAGGCAAACCTGTCCCTGACGCTAAATTAAAAGATTTAAAAAGTATGCTACACCTTATTCCGCAAGACTCACATGATTTTTATGTAAAACTTACTGGAAATGAGGATACAGAAGACGATATTGACGGTTTTTCAGGTCAACCGGATTTTGAACTAGAAACGGATTTAGATTAAGTTACTTTTGAGCAGTTTGGTATATAGTTCTAAGCATTTTCACATTTCATATAATTCTAGACATTTAAGATTGATTTTTATTTTACAAATATAAATGGATACGTTAAAAAAATGGTGTTTTAATTTTTTTTTCTTACATAATTATGGCAGTATAATAAGTTAATAAAGAACCAATCCACACAAAGATAGTTTTGTAAAAAGGAACCAACGAGTTTTTATTGAATTATTATTAAAAATATTAAATATTTTCATCAATATTAGGTTTGTATACACAGAACAAACTATTTTTTACAATAATATAAAGAAACTTTAATTAAAATTACTGATAATTTTACTCTATACAAAATTTAGACAAAAACTGCTTTTACTCAAAACTGTCATTGTGTGGGTTGATTCTGTGTTGCATAAATACGTCCAATTGTTTTTTAATGTTTGTAAAAGCAAATCCGACGCACAAGAAAACTCTTATGTTAAAGAAAAAAGTATTTGTAATAACCAGACTTGCGTATATTTTAAGCATACACAAGTACATAATAAGCTTCTCTATTTTTATTCTTATATTTAAAAGCATTAATCATTAAGTTCCGATATAGGGCTCGTATCACAAAAATATTAGATGCAAAAGTTGTTCTTTTTCTACTAACAACACGATTAGCCTTTCTTAATACTTTTAGAAAAACCTTGAATTTGTGAAAGAATCATCTTCTATGCGGGAGCATCTGGCCGGTCGAATTTGCCTTAATAGTTTCGGACATTTGCAAAGTAATTTCGAACAAAATCAACTTCATGGGAAAGGATTCTAATCTTGAACGGATCTTAATCCGATTTCGCAAAGAAAACTTAAATGGCGCGTTTCTTGTTTCGTGGCTAAGCCTATTATGCGATTAAGTTTGTTCTTAATCCTTACTAGAATAACAGATTACAAAATTTTGTGTTAAAATAAACGATAGGCTCTCGTCTTTTTTTTTCAGTGAAGATAATTATCCACATCGCGTGTTTCCGACATTTTTTTCTGACTAATGACGAACATTACTTGCCCGAGTGTGTGTTGAACTAATTACCAGTTTTTGTTTGTTTATTCGTAATATAAATTATGTTCACGTGTCTTATCGATCGGTGTCGCGGTGGCCCGGAGGTTAAGGAGCCCGCTTCTTACGCATGAGGGTGTGGGTTCGAAACACATTGATCACACATGGGTCACATTGGTACTTACCAGAAGTACCAATGTGACTTTTTCGGAGTTACATGTACTTTCTATTATTATTTATACACCAATGACATACGGCGAAGGAAAACATCGTGAGGAAATCTGGACTTATAATTTCTAATTATAAGTTTGAAATCACCAACCCGCATTGAGCAAGCGTGGTGATCAATGCTCTAACCTTCTCCGTATCAGAAGCGGCATTTGCTCAGCAGTGGGCACTTATAGGCTGATGATGATGATGAGTCTTATCGATCTGGCCCTGCAGCTCAAAAACTGTTAAAAACCGAAAATCATCATCGTCAACACCAACGGTAACATAAGTGCGTTGCCGGCATTTTGAGGATTAAGATTTCAGATATTTAAGGATGGGAGAAGGATAGGGTAGGGGAAGTATTAGTCCTCCGGCAATTTGATTCACACGGAACGAACATAACGCTGTGGTTGTTTCACGCCGGTTTTCTGTAAGACCGTGGTATCACTCCGGTGCCGACATGTTTATTGTGCCTAAGCTTGGCTCCCCCATATTATAAATCTTTTGCTTGGTACCTATGTCCACTGAACCAACGAGACACCATTGTTTTATTAATTACGAATATAAAATATATACAGAAAAATAATAATAATGTAATTGTTCCTGACATATTGTCCATATACTCGAATAATACAAATAACCAATGAATTTGACTTCATTTTAATTATTACCTACTGGAGCGTCCTGCATTGTGTGACATTCCACGAACGACATTCCGACCAATTTAAATATTCAAATAGCGATTTAAACTCATTTCTATTTAATCACACATTTCTATGAAAACGCAAAGGAGTATCATGTTATAATATTTATTTTTCATTTACGAAATTACTTAATACATAGTTTCAATTTTCTTACCCTATTTTTTTTTATTACGGCCGACCAACTAAGATACATACAGGCAGAAACTACAGTTAGTGTATGCTCTTAAATGAAAGGTAAAAAATATAAGTAAATAGTCATTTCAGGAGTAAAACATTAAAACCAACGAAAAAATAATAATGCATTTACAATATAACAATAATTAAAACTATTATCGTCCTTATTTAGTTTAATATAAGGAAAATATTATGTTACGTTCCGTGTCTATTTTATTTTTATGTGTGCGTGGATTGCCTGCCGCTATATATCCCGGTAAAGGTTCATTCCATACACAATTAAGTAGAGAAAGGCCTTGATTGCAACCGTTTACCCACGGATTGTTTACAATGGAAGCTATCAAAAGGTCAATAACCGTATAAAAATATCGGGTGTTTGTATCTGGTTCACTAAAGGCCTAGTCTGTCTGAATAGCCAAGACAAATTTGAATATAGAACGCTATTTACATGAAATATGTCCAACATAAGTTAATCTGATACTTCTATGTTGGAAAGTAATGAAATATGCATTAAATGAAGGTAAAATTGTTATTATTCTTCCTTTTTCAATATTGTAAATGGGTTGACTAATAATTCGGAGTTATTATAGAACTCTGAATTCAGTCATTATTTCAGGTTTAATCCCAATACTAAGTCTAGTCTACTAACTACATATAGGTAGTATAAACCTAAATAAGTTATGCATTTTATTCTTTTTATAAAACATCCCAATGTATGTTATCTTATGTTCGTAAATGTCATTCTTCCCTTCATCCCACTATCTTTAGATTTCCACACAATTTAATGCAACCTTTTTCGAGAACAATCTGGCTGGTATTCTATTCTTTTTAATGCCATTAAATAAAAATGCAACGTAAAATGAACTTTACATACCTGACAACAGGTATCATTATGAATTAAATCACAAATTTGAATTGTTAAATCGCAGTGTTTCATGTTTATGTTCCTATTTCGAAAAACAAACAATTATGAATCTACTTACTAAGCTTTTATTGAAGAGTTGACAAAACATATGAAACAACCCAGCATTGTCAATTTCAAATGTATGATAAATATTGGGAAAATACTTATAATATACTTCCCACATAAATACTGTCCATATACTAAACATCAGAAACCATTTTGAATTCCCATGCTATTAAACGAATTCAAAAATTTACCTTTACATAGCTTTACTCAATCCGATAAACAAATTCGTAATCAATAGGAAGACAATCACAATACTACACCTAAGTATACCGAATGCAATCATTGATTTTAATTTTCTCTGTACGTAAACATAAAATATAATTTTCAACCAAAACTTATTACATAAGGAAACCATATTTTATCATGACAAATATAATTATTTCCCAGAAACAAACCGATCAGATGAATTGCTCGTAAATGTACAATTAACGTGTTTAATTAATATCTTATACAATATGTATTTATTGTTTTATGTTTATATTACCAGTAGTGTTGAGTTTATGAACCTCTTTTCAGTGAGTCAATTTACATGACGCATTAAATTGTATGTCTTGATAAAACTGGTTCACGTGAAGCGATGATTAAAAGGTCTAAAGACTTTTCTATATATGAGATTAGATATTGGATGTGCATCAAATGTTTAAGATATTATTTAAGGCGGTATGAAGTTTTCCCGGATAGTAAAATTGGTAGTTTCTATAAATAAAGAAGCTGAGAAGCTATGAATATGTTTCATTGTTAAATTCAAGGTTTTGACTCCGAAAGTAAAGTTGTATGAATACTTATTTGATTCAAAAGAACAACTTACTTACGTGAATACATTAAGTAATGATCTAATTATTTCGAGTCTTGTGTTTTTATTAAACAATTCAATAAGTACTCACATTGTTAAACCTTAGTCTTATTGCATAAATATACGCGAATATCTGAATATTGTTATGGTGGTCCCAAACACAAAGCGCCCGGTTCTCATGCAAGCAGGTTAGATACCTGGCACGTACCAATTCGTATGTGTCTTTTTCCGAGTTACTTTTCTTTTCATGATTATTTAGACACCACTGACATGTGGTGAAGGAAAACATTGTAAGGAAACCTGGGCTTATAATTTCTAATTATAGATTTGTAATCTTTAATCCTACTTGAAAAAGCATGGTGTGCAAAAAGGTCCTTGCTCAGCAGTATGTGAACAATTACAGGAGTCAGGACGTATGTTTAGCTTACAATATATAAATCATTCAAGGACTGTCCACCAAAAAGGCGATAAATACAAAAATGAATTAAAACTAGATAACCATCAAAATGCAAATAGGAAACGGGATTAAAGCGAATAAGCATTCATGAAATCGTAGTAGCGACGCGTTGGTCAGATGGGAAAGTATGATAAGTCCTGCAATGGAGTCTGCCTTTGTGCTAGTAAACACATACATTATGCATTATGTTGTGTACAGTCGCTGTAGTAAGGACTTCGCATTTCTATTTTTGATTTTTTTATGTGGTAAATCGGCAAACGAGCCGTTGTCTTAAAAGATGGTAAGCGATCTGCGCCGCCCATAGACACCCGCAACACAAAAGGAGTTACGAGTGCGTTTCCGGCCTTATGGTAGTAAGGGCTTCGAATATTTAAGGATTGAGGAGAAATAAAGGGAGGGGAAGAATTGGTCCTCATGTGACCTAACTCACACCGCGAAACACGAAGCTGTTGTTTTCTCACGCCGGTTTTTTGTGAGGCTATGGTATCACGTCGAGCAGACTAATTCGAGCCGAAGCTTGGCTCTCCCACACTTAAACAAAACATGCTTTTATTACAAAATATATATATTACAAAATACTAGTTTTCTTTTCGTTGTACTACGTAGGTCTACGTGGAATTTGGTAACGTAATTGACGTATAATTTGTTTTATTGGAGACAATAA